CTTATAACCCATCTACTTCTGGTGGTGGTGGGGGGGGGTCATGTGGTCTGTGACCCTGATAGGAAGTGCATGGTCCGCTTGGCTTTGAGTACCAGGTGCAATAAGAGAAAGAAGCCAGTGGTTTTTGTTCTAGTAATAACTGAAAGTTCCAGGTCTTATACTTGCCCACCCAGGATGTCAAAGTAGTTACAAGTAAAGATAAATTCACAGTCATCCACAAAATGTTGACATTCAAAGCCTGAGAAAATCTTGAGCACAGCAAGATGAAAGCATCCAGCTACTTATGTGGAATGTTTGACAAATGAGCAGTGGCAGAGACAATGGCCTGTCTAAAGGAGTCAGTGATGTATTCAAAGGCTGAGCATGTTGCAGAGACAATGGCCAGCTAAAGAAGTGATACATTCAGAGGCTAAATTTAGCTTAGGTGATGATATCTTTCAATACTCAATGCAAACAAAATACTTTTCCATATGTGTTTGTTGCCCCTTGCTAAAAACCAATGGCCATAGATTAGGTAAATTATAAAGAAAGTGCATTTAACGGTTCTGGTACAGGTGTGAGGGGCGCTCTTGGGATGAGAGTCATACTAGCAGAGTCCTGAGACAGCACGAGGCATCACGTGATGATGCACCAGGAACAAGTATGTGTTCATACCTCATATTCCTTTCTCTGTGCTTTCATGCACCAGTACATTGCTATGGCTGTCTCCATATTGATAACGCTTTCTAACCCAAATCACAACCCCAGGGCCCCACTTCTAAGTAACATATTTAGACCAAGTTTTTATTTTAAATAATCACAGGGACGTTACGGCATTATCAGAGTTTCACAGTGCACAAACTAAATGCAAACCATAGCACCAGATAAGCAGAAAAAAAGAGTATGCATTTCTACTAGCCTGATCCTGTAATAATGGTTAAAAGAAGGGCTGCAAAAGGTAATTCGTATCTACAGAATTCAACAAAAACATCTGAAAAAAAAGTGCCAAGCACAAAAAAAGAATGAAAAGAAAAAAAGGAAAGGAAGGAAGGAAGAAAAAGAAAGAAGGAAAGAAAAAGAGAGAGAGAGGAAGAAAGGAAGGAAGAAGGAAGGAAAGAAAGAAAGAAGAAAGAAAGAAAGAAAGAAAGAAAGAAAGAAAGAAAGAAAGAAAGAAAGGAAGGAAGGAAGGAAGGAAGGAAGAAAGAAAGAAAGAAAGAAAGGAAGGAAGGAAGGAAGGAAGGAAGGAAGGAAGAAAGAAAGAAAGAAAGAAGGAAGAAAGAAAGAAAGAGAGGGCAAAAGACCTCTGGGTACATTGTAGATCCTGTTGGGAATCCAAAATGAGGCTGCCACAGACATCTGAAGTTTCTTGTCTGAAGCAGAGGAAATGATGTATTAGGCAGGAAATTTCAGAGCAGTACATGGACCAGGAAGGAGATAACCAGAAGTGAGAGTCATGGGTGGGGAAAGGAACAGAGGAAGTGAGAAAGCAAGCAGGAGACGCCCTTCTTTCCTTACTAGCTACTCGTCTTGTTCAGGGACTCAACCAGACCTGCCCTCAGAGCTGATTGCTACTGAATGGCTACACTCCACCTCTTGACCCCTGAACTTTAGCTGTAGGCTTCTCCTAATGTGAGTCAAGAACTGCAGAAGTCACTAGCTAGTATCCTGATCCAAAATGCTAGTCCAATGTGGTATTGGATACCTTAGTCCCAGCACTCAGCAGCAAAGGCTAAGTATCTCTTATGAGTTCAGGGTCAGTCTGCTCTATATAGTGAGTTCCAGGCTAGCAAGAGCTACATAGCGATATCCTATCTAAAAAATAAGCTGAAATATTTTAGATTTGAGAATATTTGTATACGTTTAGAAAGATATCTTGTTAACGGGGCCTAAGTTAAAACATGAACTAAATCAAAATATGAAATTCATTTATGTTTTCTACACATTTGTATACACCATAGCCTATAAACAACTTAATAGAATATATTGAATAATTATATTAATTAATTTATTATATATAAGTTTAAGTGTGTGGGCGTCCATGTGAGTGGGGGTCAGAGGGCAGCTCTGAGGAGTAGGTTCTCTCCTTCCACCATGTACTTTGCAGGGATCAAACTCAGATCATCAGATTTGGCAGCAAGCACCTTTACCCACTGAGCATCACGCCAGCCCTTGTAAAATGTTTTAACGGGCACACATTTGACTGTGACCTCCAGAGGTAAACATGAGGTCAGTTATAGCATCATGCTATAGTTATGAGTCACTTATAGCTTCATGCCAGCACTCAGAGGCTTTCTGATGAGGGAGCTTTAGGGACTAGAGCATAAACCTGCAGTTCTCCAAGGCAATCACAGCCACTCAGAATACACTTAGGGGAAAATCCTCCAGAGTAGGCAGGTCCTATCTGCCTGACTGTCCTTTGTGCATTGGAACAAAACAAATCATAAGACAACCGTGGACCCCCACCACGGGCTTAGACTAACAGCCACACTTGAACAGTTGTCCAATCAGATACTGTAGGTACCACTCTGGGTCGCCACCAGGGACTGATTGATATGAAGTCCCCAGAGGTGACCTGAGTGACAGGAAGGGGAGCTTAATTGTGATGTGGCACAGACTCCACACTGTAGAGAGGGCCTCTAGGATTAAGTTCCTCAGCGAGGGAAGAAACACCAGATCAGGGTTGAAAATCCACAGAAATTCAAGCTGCTCCAGGCTCATTTGCCAGGAGCTTTCTAGGTCAGGCCAGGTGACTTAGAGGCTCCTGGGGGCAGAGTCAAGGGGACATTGGGATTAAGATGGCAATGAGGGATGGTTCTTGAGGAATGGAACATCCTCCTTTCTTCCTCTTTCCTCTTTCCTTTCTCCGACTTAGCAACATTTTCTTGGACTATTGGCAAGCAGTACAATTTCTTGGGACCTTGAAGAAGCTAATGTGCATTGGGTGTCTGAAAACAAAACAAAACAAAAAATCCTGTTCACCAATCTCCCCTTCAACATCCTGTGGTTGTCCTATGTGGTTGACATGTGGTTGTCACATGTGGCTTTCTCTTGATGGGGCAAGACAGGTGCGCATTCCAGTCTAAGACTTAGTTAACAGTTCTCTCTTGCATCATTGGAAAGGATGAGAGCCTCTTGCTCTCCCTCCTGCAGTAGGGAACTCCAGACCTTCGCAGGAACTGCCCCCTGGAAAGGCTGTTTCCTCAGAAGAAGGTTATAGGCCAGTAGATAACTCGTTCAACTCTCCTGTCATCTTATACCCAAGCTCGGAGTCACGTGATATGATCATTCCCCATATGGAAGTGAGGAAGACCTCACTTAGCCAGTAGGGTCTCTTATGAAACATTGTACCTTCACAGGGTGAACAGAGGCAGGCAGAGACTTAGTGGTCCAGGTATGTTCCTGTATCTCACCATATCTGAGTCCTCTTGTGTCCAGGAACAATGTGTCTGAGTGGAGTCTTCCTAGATAACAAGCACTTGACTGGTCTCCCTAACTCCACCACCATCCCCCTCTCCACCAAGCTGGCCAGCACTGGTTAAAACACAGATCGGATCCAGGCATGGCAGACTAAATTTATAGTCTTAGCGTTTGAGAAGTGGAGTCAAAAGGATCTCAAATTTGGGGCCAGCCTGGGCTACTTAGGAAGAGTGTCTCGAAAAAACTAAACCAGACAAAGCCTCCCATTCCTTTGAGCCCTCCCTGTGTCTGATTTCACTTCTCAAAGACCTCCATTGCCCCTTCAACCTATCTCCTGGCAAGAAGACTCCATTGCCAGGTCCTGATAATGCTGTGTTTGCAAATACCAAGCCTGTATTAGAAATAAAGCATTATTCATTCTCTCAGATCTGGAACAAATGTCATTGCCCAGGTGCCTCTGCTTCTCTCCCCCAGGCAGTGTGGTACACGTCCTTGTTCCAGTGTAGGTGATAACTCTCAACGCCCACACCTGGGTTACAGTCCCTCTGTATATGCATGGGGTTGCCAGCCAGGTATAGGGACACCATCTACTCTGTCTCCCTTTTCAAGTTCAAGGAAGTAGTCCAGGGAAACACAAGGCTGAAGGGACATTTAAGAGTCCAGCATCCCAAGGGCAAGTACAGGTGAAGAACTTTGAACAGATATCTATGCTTGCACTTAGTTACTAGTTAACAAGTCCTGTAAAGATCAAACAGAACAGGCTACTCTCCAGAGCTCACTGGGTTGTAGGGCAACTATCGTAACACAAACACCAGTGGTCTGGTAGTGCTGAAGTACCCAATCCTTCAGTTATGAAGGAAGAGGATGTTCCAGTAGCCACCTGTGGAGGCTCCTTTTTCGCACCATTGCAGAAGTAGCCATGATAAATCTTAGACAGTGGCATTCTTGTAGCTAGTAAGAAAGGGGTGAAGGCACCTATGTGCTGACCAAGACACAGATTTCCACCTACTCAGTGCTGTCCCACCTCCTGACCTGTGGAGATGGCGCATCCTGAGACTGTGTCCATTGTCATTTCTTCTCATTGCCAGAGAGTTCATTTCAGGCTTTCTGTTTTTCCTTTATCTCTGGGCCTGGTTCAATAGGAGGGGTGACAGTATGTTGTCCCGCGCTACCTCCCGCCAGCAGGAATGACACAGCACACACAGGATCCTTCTGCAGTTCAAGCTTTAATGCGTCTTGAGAGGGAGAGCACAAGCTTCATCTGGGAAGAAGAAAAGGAGGACCCCGAGGGCCAAAACCCCAGCCCTTAAATAGAGCCTAAAGCCTGCTTAGGACGTGGCAACCTCTTACTGGCTCTCTGCAGGTCAGGCAGATGAGGCAGGCGGGGCGACTGGGGGGGGGGAGGGAACAATCCCCGACACATGTGCACTGAGTTGTTTATCACAACACTCAGCCGGATGCCGGCACCATCTTGTAATGGCAACGTGAGATGGGGAAAGGGCAAAGCTTCCCACAGTATGTAACTATCAGTGTGCTGCTGTGACATCCATCTTCACCGTCACCTTGGCCAGACTTGGAGTCAGCTAGGAGACACACTTCCAGGTGTGTCTGTGAATACGGTTAATTGAGGAAGAAAGTCCACTCAGCATGTGGGCAGCATGCTCCCCAAGGGCTTGGCTTCCAGACTGAATAAAAAGAAAGAAGAAAGTGGAATACCAGCATCCATCTCTGACACAATGTGGCCAGTCAGTTATGCCGTGTTCCTGCCTCCATGTCTAGACACCGTGATAGACTGTGACCTTCTTAACTGTCAGCCAAAATAAGTCTTCTCCTCCCTAAGTTGCTTTGTCACCATGACAAGAAAAAAGAAGGAGGTCAGCTTTCAAGTGCACGAATACTGCTTTGGAGTTGGAGGAAGTAAGGGAATACATTCCCCAGAGCTTGACCACGCTTGAGACTGGATCTGGCAAACACGTGAGATTTTGTGTGTATAGTCATTGTGCTGTGCTCTGAGGTCACTGTTTCTTGCCTGCAATGGCACTAGAAATGACACTTTCAGGGTTGCATCTGTTTCCTGCTGGTGAGGAGTTAGGATGTGGTGTGGTTTAGGGGAGTGTGCCTGTTGTGGATTGTGACAGGCCAATATGTGGGTTTCCTTGGCAATATTGCTCCCCTGATAATGTAATAGGCTTCCAGATTTTGCAGAATAAAGCTTAGTTTGTAGAATGCTTGTCTAGTATACACAAAGCCAAGGATTCAGTCCCCAGCACTGAGTCGATGAGCAGGAGTAGTGGCACCTACTTGTGATCCCAGCACTTATGGAGTGGAAGGAGGAGAATTAGACGTTCAAGGTTATTCTCAGCCAGGTAAGGAGTTGGAGGTCAGCCTGAGCCACATGGGCTCCTATCCAAAAAAAAAACAAAAACAAACAAACAAACAAAAAGCAAAAAAAAAGACTTTAAGCTTCTGGATTCCTTGGACAAAGATTGCTCAAAGTTTATTCACTCTGTCCCTTGATACATTATATGTCTCATTACTTCCTAAGACCTGCCTTTCTTAGATGCTTAATTGAAGTATAGCTATAGCATATTTATCCAAAAGTGAACAAACGAGAGTGTAGTGTGCCACTTGGTAAATTTGTATAGGGTACATTTACACAGATCTGACCCCACCCAAGAACTATGACTTTAGCCATAACTTCCCTCTGGGGTGTGTTCATCACCCAACCTCCAACACTACAGAATAGTTCCACTTATTTTAAAGTTATGCAAATAAGTAAAAAAAAATCTACGAATTAGAGTGTCTACTTCTATATTTGGAGTCTGAGGTTCAGTGCTTTGTGAGTCATCCATATTCTGACATGTGATTGTGTTTGGTTTCTTCTTCTTTCTGTATAGTATTCCATCATGTGAACATTCTAAAAATGATCTATGCTACCGTTTGTTGGATGTTCGGGGCGGGGGGTGATTATCAGTTGGCTTAGAAGGAATAGTGCTGATATGAATGTTCTTAGATTTCTCCTTTAATTAGTTCATATGTATTTCACTGGGTTCATGTAAAGGCTGAGATCCTCCTCTCCAGGCTCATGTGCCTGAACATTTGATCTTCAGCTGGTGGGACTATTTTGAGAGGTTCTTAAACCCTTGGGAAAGGAGATACGTATGACAGAGGAGAGTCACCAGTCTTTAAAAGTTCTAGTCCGGTTCTACTTCTAGCCCGAGTTCTCTGTTTTCAACCCTCCAATGTTTAACAAGCTATGCTACAAGCTCCACCGCAGACCAAGCCACTTCGGACGTCACGCCTCTCCAGCCAGGATGGACTGACATCTCCTGAACACATGGGTCTTAAGTGCCTTCTGTTATTTTGCCACAGCAATGAGAAAAGGGAACTACAAAGTATATTACTCAGACTTCACACACGATAGCAATAATATAAAGGGGGAAGGATTTGTTAAAGGTTTCAGTCCAACATGGTGGGAGAGGCATGTTGGGGTCATTTACATCTTGTGAACAGGAACCAGACTGAAGCCGAAACAGGATGCACTAATGACCTTCAGTGACCCCTATGCACTTCCTTCAGCTCGGCCCCATGTTTCACAACTTTTACCATCCCTTGCTTACTGTGACATTCTTAATCCATCAGCAGATTGATTCATTTACTATAGAGACTTTGTGTCCTGATTGTTTCTGAAAATTCACTCAGAGATACTCTTTACTAATCTCCTAGGCATGCCCTAGTCCAATCAATTTGACAATCAAAACCAATCCTCACTGGACTGGGTGTAGTGGCTCATACCTTTAATCCTAGTGCTTGGGAGGCAGAGGCAGAAGAATCTCTGTGAATTCAAGGCCATTCTGACCTATAGAGAGAACTCTGGGATAGCAAGAACTACATAGAGCAACCCTGTCTCAAACAAAACAAAAGATTAACCATCGCAATGGGGTATAGTCTCAGTTATCTAATTGCTACATTACAAAGTGTCCCCAAAACATAGTGGCATCAAGCAGCATTCATTTTATTACACTCACAGATCTTGTGGGTGGATTAGTTTTCCACAACTTAACACAACCTAGAGTCACTCGGATTGATAATATGAATAAGAACAGGTCCCCTAAAGATGGTGTATTTGAATTCTCAGTTTCCAGGGAGTGGAACTCTTTGATAGAATTAGGATTATGAGATGTAGCCTTCTTCAGTGTTCTTTGTATAGACTACTAGAAGAAGGTATGGCCCAAATTAAAGATGAGTGGTCATCACAATAGACTATGAGGACTTTTGAAGTTGGACTGAATGCATTTTTGTATTATGGTGTGACTATGACCTTTCATGGTGGCTTGAATAAGATTAGCCCCATAGGCCACTCAAATACATGAAATTTTGGATGCTTAGTCATCAGTGAACGACATTATTTGAGAATGATTAGGAAGTGTGACCTTGTTGGAGGAAGCATTCCACTGGGGATGGGGCTTTGAGGTTCCAAAAGTTCATATGTCTATGCAAAGCCTAGTCTCTCTCTCTCTCTCTCTCTCTCTCTCTCTCTCTCTCTCTCTCGATCAGGATGTAGCTCTCAGCTACTTCTCTGGCACACCTGTCTCCGACATGCTTCCTGCCATGACAGTCATTATTTCTGTGACTACGCCTTTGGAACTGTAAGCAAACCCTCAATTAAATTCTTTCTTTCACAAACACTGCCTTGGTCATGGTATCTCTTAACAGCCGTTGAACGTGACTTAAGACACCTGGGAAGAAGGGACATCAACTGAGGAGTTGCTCAGATCAGAGTGGCCTGTGGCCGTGTGTGGTAAACCGTCTTGACTGATGATTGATGTGGAAGCGCCCAGCACACTACTGTGACAACGTTGTAGGCAGGGTGGCCTGGGCTGACGAAGAAAGCTAGCTAAGGATGAGCCTGCGAGTCTGTTCTCCACGGTCCCTGGCTCCAAGTTCTCGTCTTGAGTTCCTGTCCTGACTCCCCTCAAAGATGGACTGTAAAATGAAATAAACCCGTTTCTCCCTCAAGTTTCTTTTGGCAAGGGTGTTTTTTTTCCAGTAACAGAAAATCAAACTAGAATAGAAAAAAAATTTTTTTGATACAGCACAGGAAGTTTGGTTTTTCTACGCCCCGTCTAGTTTGAAGTCTCAATTTGAAAACATCATGTGGCTAAGGGTGGTTTGATTAGCTGGGACTATAATCATCTGGAAATGTCTTTACTTGAAAATCTGATGTCTGGTTTCTGGGAGCTCAGAAAGAAAACACAACATCCTCAGTCATTCTGAACACCAAAGATTTGACATCATCAGTGTAGACAATTTCCTCCTCCTTTCCCTAAAAGGGACAGTTAGTTGTCAGTGTCTGGAGTCAGTTTTGGTTGGTTGAGAAGGGGTTACGACTAGCATCTAATGAGTGCACCTAGGGATGCTTCTAAACATCCCACAGCACACAGGACAGGCACCATCATGGTAATTATCTCACCTAAAATATCAAAGCTGCCCAAGTCAAGAAACCTCACTCTACTAAAAATCTTCCCAGGAGACATGGAGTATGGGTATGGCTACACATTAATTTGATTATATCTTATTTGGCCTACAGACAAGCTTGTTTGCCAAAAAATAATGAATAAGAGTGAACATTTCACAGCACGTTGAAGCCTTTCTTTTTTAAAGCGTGTCTTAGCTTAATGCAGAAGCACTGGGATGATCTGGCATGTGTGCTTCTGAGTGTGAGATTGGGAAGACAGCGCTCATTCATTTCCATGCTTTCTCCAGCCTTTTACTGATTTGGATCATATAAAGTATTGAGGGCAAAGGCAGGTATGCTACAGTTTTAAATAAACGTAATTTTAATTCTAAATCCTGTTTGAGTCTAGATTTTCATCACTTGAACACATCATACGGGGGAGAGAGGGGCATGCTGACCTGAAAAGTCTAGAGACCCAAACACAGGGCTGATAGTCAGCTTCCAGCACTGTGACTCAGGCTGGGATCCCTTCCCAGGCCTGCAGTGTAGACCCTATGTCTTTCAGCCTGTGGTATCTCCTCACCAGGGCTTGTCTTGCCTTGGCTGGATGAGTGAAAAATTGCTTACTTGACAGACAGAAAAAGAAAAAAAGATGTTTGAAAAGTTGCCCTGCCGTTTAACTTGAGGAATCTCACAGAACTATCCAGGAGTGGGAGCAGTGGATGGTGAAGAGGCAGGTGCAGATGCACCCTGATTTATAAGGATAGTGTACACTGCTGTGAATGGACCCAAGCCAGTTTCCAAAGCTAGTTATCAACTGACACTTACTGGAGGGACACACCATAGTCACAGTTCCTGCCGTGGTGTCTTACTTTCATCTGAGGATGCAACATTTATGTCATTTATATAGAGATATCAGCCACAAAGCTGGTGTAGACCTATTTCATGAAATTCATAACCAGGATCTGGGGAGATGACTTCATTTGGCAAAGTGCTTGCTGCACAATCCTGAGGACCTGAGCTCTAGCCTCAGCACCCACATAAACTCCGGCTACTGTGGTGTGCATCTATAATCTTGACCCCAGAGAGGCAGAAACAGATGGGTTCCTGGGACTTGCTGGTCAGCCAGCCTAACCTAATCAGGAAGCTCCAGGCTAATGAGAAGCCCTGTCTCAAAAAGTAAGACGGAGAGCAATTGAGGAAGATATCAGGTGTTGGCTTCTGGCCTTTACACATATGCACACATCTACACACACGTGTATACACACACACGTACACACATACATCTACACACATGTGTATACACACATATACATACTTAGGCACATGTATACACACACACATATATTTCACAACCAGTTCTCCATTGTTCCCTGATCATGTGTTACTGTCTCATAGTGGAGAAATTCTAGCTCTGTTCTGGAAGAGACAGGAATCAAGGTCAGAACGTCGTCAGGAGTCCTCTCCTTGCTCTGTAAGCTCCTATGATCCATTCATATCCTTGTCCCAAGGACAGTACCCATCCCTTCCCGCCCTCTTATCGAGGACTCTTATTTTGTCATTAAGACACACTGCAGACACACTGCCTGTCAACATAGTCACTGATTTTGCTTCATCAAATAAAGCTGCTTTGTAACCCCAATTCATATACATACACCTAATCTCTATCTTTTGTGGTGAGAAGGTTTCAAAACAGGGTTTCTCTGTGTGGGGCAACTCCCTCTGTAGACGAGGCTGGGCTCGAATTTAGAAATCCAACTGCCTCTGCCTCCTGAGAGCTGTGATTAAAGGTGTGCATTACCAACTCCAGGTTTAGATCCTGATTTCTTTTCTTTTTTTTCTTTTTTCTTTTCTTTTTTTTTTTTTGTTTTGTTTTTGTTTTTCGAGATAGATCCTGATTTCTAATACCACTTTCCAATAACAGAATCCAGAGTTTCTTGGAAAAAGGACTGATTCTGTCTCTGCAGGAGACCCTAAAAAGGAGATACTGAAGCATCTTCTAATGTCAAAAAGTAAGTTGAAGCTTGGGAAAAATATCAGCAAAATCCCTTCTGAAGGATAGACTACAAAGGAGTGTCCCTCAAACTGTCAAGATTGTGACAAATAAAGAAACAAGGGTAAGAGTCAAAAGAGAACTAAGGGGTAAATGTGACTCAGTGTCCTGGATGGAGTCTTAGAGGGAAGGACTTTAGGTACAGCTAAGGAAATCTGGATAATGCATGCCTCTTAGTCATAAGGTTTCAATACGGATTTCCTCACTGCCACAAATGTGCTTTGTTAGGAAAGGTGTAGAGTAGAAGAAAACTGGGTGTGGCTTTCTGTACTGTTTCCAAAAGGCTAAGGTTATAGCTCAGTGGTACAGTATTTGCCCAGTACTTGCAAGGCCCTAGGTTCAATCTCCAGCCCTTCCAAAAAGAAAATTTCAGTTAAAATAAAACATACAGTTTTTTTT